TATATATATATATATATATACACACACATACATACATACATACATACATACACGGCCAAAAGGCCACAGAATTAAAAGTTCAATCAGGAAACACTCACTGGTTTTAAATGGATAACGGAGCTGTTTGACATCACGGTATGATCTCCTTCCATCATGTCCAACTCACTCTTGTCATCAGAGGCATCCGGAAGACTATTCACACTACTGCTTTGGCTACTGGCACTAATGGACATGCTTGGAATAGATTGGTTACTGCCGATGCTATTCACGGTTCCTGTTCTGCCAACTCCATGCTCTTGCTCCTGAGAAGGAAGTGAAAAAAGATCATTGAGCCACTCAAAACACAGCCACATACAGTACATATAATCAAGTGACAAAGATACATTTCATCAGGGGAAACAAAAGAAACTTAAACTGTACATAAAGTTAGATCGGTTTCATCTGATTAGATAAGCATTAGGAATTAAGTCTAGGGAAACGTCTATGGCTCACATGTTGGGTTTAATCACATGACTAGGAACTGTAGTGCTATGGGGGATTCCCATTACAACTAGTCAATTTGTTTTATTTTCCTACCCCTACCAAAGTTCCTGCCCCGTCGATTTTACTTGTTTCTTACCATTTCCTTTTGATTTACACATGACTTTATGAGCAAAAGCCAATACTTTTTTTTTAGGTTCCCATTTACTTATTAAGCCTTGTTGACAAGTATTTGACATAAAACAATGTTTCCTCATATCAAGTACAGTATAAGCTACCATGGAGAATGAAAGTATGAATGGGACTAGCTGCTATGAGTTCATAAAAGACAGGAGTCTGAGATGGGTATTTCTCATTTGTAAGATGGAGGTGGAACACCCTGTAAAATGACATTTATTTGCAGTAGTGTATATGTCACACATATAGAGAGTTTTTTTCAAATTTGAGTGCGAAAGTGGAAAGACACTTTAAGGTGGATCTCATACCTCCTCTTCCTCTTGAGTTTCCACAGCAGGTCCATTGTGGGCCTCCTGGAAAAGCAGCTTCTTCATTTTACGGTACTGTAGGTTATCCAACTCTCTGACTGCATCCTTTGTCCTCTGGATCAGGTCGATTAACACTGTTTCTGGTCGCTCACGCAAAGCAAACATGTGCTGTAAAACATTATAAAATAAGAAAGCCTGACTTTTAACTGACTTGAAAAGAAGAAAACCAAAGACATGTAATGCTTTTATATCATTTCACAAAATTGTAAAGTGAGTGTAATATGAGCAACAACAGTAATATGTGAAAACTTTCACCAAATATATCATCTTTTAGATTGTAAGCCCTCAGGGGCAGGGCACTCCTTACCATCTTGTCTTGAATTGTATTGTGATTGTAATGTCTTCCCTATATTGTAAAGCACTGCGCAAACTGTTGGCGCTATATAATTCCTGTATAATAATATATGGACAAATGAGACATCGCTGGCCTCTGACTACATTATTACAAGCTCCTATGTATGTGCCTACAATAGTAAATAATTGGTCAGTGAGTACAGAATGCAATAAAGGCAAACGGTTATAAGTCTAAGCTATAGATAATACAATAGACAATAATTATAACTGGCGAGGATTCACCCTACTGACAAACATACCACACATGAATGTCACTGACCTTAAGCAGCTCATCTGATGTTGGCCTGTCTTGAGGGATTTTCTGGAGACAAGAGTCAACAAAGTTTCTGAAGTAGTCAGACCTTTAATACAAATAGTAAACCGATTGTTATTGAAGTAGTAACATGATATTCTCATCATCAAAATATAAAGGGCAATATATATATGTCACAGAACAGATTTGTACCATATTGATCATACTATAGAATGGTGCCAAAATATCGAATATTTGTATTCGTGGACTCTACTGGGTATACCATTAAGACAAAATATATTTTAACGCCTTCATGACCAGCAGTCACTGTTGTGCAGATGCTTAGATTAAATTTAGCAGCATCGCTATGTGTCAGTTAATTTCACAATAACTGCGACCAATGATCCGACATGATCGGGAACCACAATTACTGGTTCATAATCGTCATTGGTGACCAGAGCTGTGTGCGACAATCCGGTCTGACAGCTACTGCCTTATTCACAATAGAGCAAATAATGCAAGCAGGTTTCAATCCATACTAGTGTTATAGAACAGTCACCAAGCTGTGACAGGCTGTCTGAGTTTGATTTTCCAGTCAAGTTATCATTGTCACCAGCCTAAGTGAGCTCTTAACCTATGCAGGGAATGATGCTTCATTTCTGTGCCCTGCCCCCTTTGAGTTGATTCTAAAACGCAAAATACAGAGACCTCACTGAAGTGAGAACTAGCTTGGCTTAAGCCAGAGTTGGAAAATTAAAGCAATTGAGGAGACAGTCAATCCATCCATCACCATGATGGCATCCATCCATCTTCCCTTCCAAAGCGTCAATGCAGGTGCCAAGCGCCTTCATTTCCTGCGTGAGGTAAGAAGTGAATTTGTTTTTGGCTGCTTCAATCTCTTTTTGCAGCTTGCCTTTAAATCTGTCCAACAGGGCTGCATACAGCATGGATGGGGTCTGACACTGCGTGTTTGGCGCAGGCACCAGAAAGGGCATGGTGCATGAGGTGGGTGAGTACAAGGGTTTCAGCTGGTGGTAGGTCACTCCCCGGGACAGATTACGAGTCACTGAGCTATGCGTCACTGCCATCTTCTTTGCCTATAGTGCAGCTGGAGGGCTCCCAAGAGTAAAAAAATAAAAAATTTAAAAAAAGGTTGGGTTGCAAGTCCTTGGAACTTACGATTGCCGATATGGAGGAGCAATGTTAAGGTGTGACCATTTCCTCTTGCCGCTCACGAGCGCCCACAAGAGCCAATCTGTCAGGAACCAGAGCACCTGCTGGTGGCACTGTGGTCCTCCAACCTGCAGCACGTACTGTATTTCCAGGCATAGAGAACTTCCTGCTTTCTAGCAGCCAGGATCAGGTGCAGATTAATTGCAGAGAACTGTTGGGAGACACCCGCTGGTGGGCGCTGGAACTACATTCTTCAGGTCAAAGGACTATAGGGCCACCAGTAAGTGCTCTGGTTTCTAGCACAGTCTGTCCAATCCAGGAGCCAGCAGGATTATATTTTAGGAGCCAGTTCTATTGATAACAGCAAGAGAAAGCCTCAAAAGTGGGACATCAGCTGTTATTTTTAGGGCGCATTGGTTACCTGGCTCCTGGGATTTGTCCAGCCTTGGCTTAAGCTGAAATTGTCATATCACAGCCATTTCAGGGCAGAGGAGACATTTTTCATACCAAGCTCCCAGATAGCAGAAAAGATTAAGATGGGGATCAAACTTTTAGCAGGAGTTGCTTTTAAAAACCAATGTTCCAATAATAAAAAGGAAAATAATGTGATTAGTGGGAAAAAGCTTTCTTTTTTGTTACTTCTTAAAATGTTCAGGAACCTTATCTATACATTACAGCTCTTCGAGGGTTAGCCCAGCTTTGGGATGTTGTGGTCATGACATAAGCCAAGGTATGTTTTAGGGCTGCAACAACTAATCGACATAATCGATTATAATCGATTATTGAAAAAGTTGTCAACTTTTTCAATCATCGATTAATCGGCTTCTGATTGGTTGGCCCTCTTTAGGGCTTCACACACGCTGCGCGCCGCACCTCCTCCCCACCTTACTCTCGCCGCTGACAGACCTGCCCGCATCCATGCTTCAAGAGCTGCACCATTCTCCAGGCCTCGTGCTCACCGCCAACCCACATCCACAATTGGCACAGGGACGCAGGGAGAAGTAAGGAGGAGCAGGTGTGGGCGGATGACAGCCACCAATAGACAGGTCCGATCTCAGAAACAAGTTGCTGGAAGACTGCTCAGGTAAGCCTGCACTTTCCCACACATGGTGTAAATGTATTGCTGAGATTTCTTGTATTCCTCTATAGCTGGTGGTATTCTGCAATGCGCTTAATAGAGGACTACAAATCCCAGCAATAATACATTGTGCAGTGGTCAATGCCGAATATCACCAGCTATAGAGGACTACAAAACCCAGCAATAGTACATTATACAGCGCAATGCAGAATATCACCAGCTAGAGAGGAGTACAACAAATCCCAGCATTAGTACATTATAGCTGGTAGTATTCTGCATTGTGCTGTATAATGTACTATTGCTGGGTTTTGTAGTCCTCTATAGCTGGTGATATTCGGCATTGACCACTGCACAATGTATTATTGCTGGGATTTGTAGTCCTCTATTAAGCGCATTGCAGAATACCACCAGCTATAGAGGACTACAAAACCCAGCAATAGTACATTATACAGCGCAATGCAGAATATCACCAGCTAGAGAGGAGTACAACAAATCCCAGCATTAGTACATTATAGCTGGTAGTATTCTGCATTGTGCTGTATAATGTACTATTGCTGGGTTTTGTAGTCCTCTATAGCTGGTGATATTCGGCATTGACCACTGCACAATGTATTATTGCTGGGATTTGTAGTCCTCTATTAAGCGCATTGCAGAATACCACCAGCTATAGAGGACTACAAAACCCAGCAATAGTACATTATACAGCGCAATGCAGAATATCACCAGCTAGAGAGGAGTACAACAAATCCCAGCATTAGTACATTATAGCTGGTAGTATTCTGCATTGTGCTGTATAATGTACTATTGCTGGGTTTTGTAGTCCTCTATAGCTGGTGATATTCTGCATTGCGCTCTATAGAGGACTACAAGTCCCAGCAATAATACATTATACAGCGCAATGCAGAATATCACCAGCTATAGAGGAGTACAACAAATCCCAGCATTATACATACAGTGTATAATAATATACAGCACAATGTACCATCAGCTATAGAGAAATACAATTCCCAGCAATACATTATAGAGCACCATGTGTGGGAAAGTGCAGGCTTACCTGAGCAGTCTTCCAGCAATGGGGAGGAGGTGCGGTGCACAGCATGTGGAGCTGTGAACAGGGCCAACTGATCAGAAGCCGATTAATCGATTATTGAAAAAGTTGACAACTTTTTCAATAATCGATTATAATCGATTATGTCGATTAGTTGTTGCAGCCCTACTTCTACCGCTCCAAACTTGCACCTGTGATGGACTGTAATCTCAATGCAAACTAGTAGTCCCATCACTGGAGCCATTGTTGTAAAATGTATTTTATTTTACTTTTTATCCGATTAACCGAAACTTAATAATCGGCTAACTAATCGATTTTGAAAATAATCGTTAGCAGCAGCTCTAGTATGTTTATCACACTTCCAGGAACAGGCTGGGCTACCTGCCAGCATACCAACCACAGTTCAATGGAGACTGCTCAGTTACTGGGCGGTGACCAGAATGAGAACCAAAGAAAACAAAATGCCATGCATGTACTGTGACTGAGGTTGTAGAGAAGGTATCACATGTTCACACTAATTCAGGATCCTGACAGCTTCCAGATATCGAGAACTGGGTGTACACGTGGAATAGCCATCAAGTGTGAAGCAAATGTACTGCTAGACTATTATCACTGCTCATCCCAGTCATTCCTAAAATGCAACATAATCTTCTTACTAAGCAAAGCACCATGCTCCTGGACAAACTGCCAACACATGGAATAGTAATCAATCAAGGTGTGTTTGTGGGAACTATAAATTATAGCGGCCTCATTCAGTAAAACTGTGTGATATAATAGCTTCAAGCCACAGGAACCATTCACACAGCTATGCTACTGCTTTCCTAAATGATGGTAGCTACACGCAGGCAGATCTCCCACCAAGAGTGACTGAAAGGTGAAAAATCTGTCCTATCTATTCACACAGCGGGGACCCGCAGTGACTTATCAGTGACCCAACTAACATTCTATTGTGTTCTTTTTATGAAGAAAATACAATGATATCTAAATGATCTCTGCATACAAAATGAGCACTTTTGGAAAAGCTTTGGTATTGTGGAGAACGGCTTTAAAAGTAAGTGTTAGGGGAAAGCTGTACTGAGAGAATTAGAAAAACAGCAATAACGCAAGATACTGTAAGCATATAGAAAAATTATCTACAGTGATTAGGTTTTTAGTTTTTCTGACTACAGGGAAAGGAGGCATGCAGCAGTATACGTGTGCTGGCAAGGAACATGCTGGCAAAAGGAGAGAGCAGAAGGATGAGCTCATCAGTTTGCCGATGCTCCTTTGCTGTCCAATCCCAAACTGAGGGTGACCAAGCTGTGTCACTTAACTGCAGTAGAGAAGAGTGAGGTCACAAACCTGGATGTGCGGTCTTGCTGAGCGGTGTTAATCTCAGGACTAGATTGAGAGAAATGCAAATCCTCTGGCAAGTAAAACAGCTCGCATATATGTATTTCAAAAGTGTAATTTAGAGGTTAGCCTGGAGTTAAGCTATAAAGAATTTAAGCATGCAAATGAGACCTCCTTTTAATTACAATTATAGAAGGTTCCATTAAATCCCTTTTGGAAACTAGCAAAGCTGAAAGCAAGAGAGTTTGCTTTGTGCAAAATTGTGAAATGGATGCACATAAAAATAGACCGTAGTTAATTTATAAGACATTCCTCCAAGACACAAACAAACCAAAATGTTAAAAGAAAGTGCCCAAAGTTCGAGAGGAAGAATCAAAATTTGCAAAAGGACGTTACTAATTTACATACTATTCACAAACTGCAGCAGATAAAAAGGGGTTTATCATTCAAGGATGAATACATGAAGGTTTCAGAGAATTATCAGAGCACAAGATAACTGAAGGAACAGTGTAGTGGAATTTGAAAATAAACCATTAGACTGGGGATCGTCAGATACCAAGTACCGTACATGATACAAGTACAGAGACACTTCCAGCTCCAAGATTAGACTAGAGAAAAACTCAAAAGTTAGGATATATTTAGATGCACCTATACCCATTTTTTTTCCCAGACCAAGTACTGATACTCGTCCAAGTACCCACAGATACCAATTACGGAGACTTTTTTTTTAGTGTCATGTGACAGTTTTTCTAAAACAATACAGACTAATGATTTCAGGACAGTGGTGGAGCGCCAGGTCGCAGCTGCAACTCTGGTAGTTCTCGTGAAAATGCCAAGTATGGGCCCTGGTATATGAACATCCCTAAATTAGACACATACCGAAGAACAACCTACATATTCAGGATTTTAGCATTATATCCACACACTGTTGTGGTAAACCAGTCCACTCCACTATCCTTTCACTAACTGGTGATGTGAAAAACCTTGCTTTTGATGGAGCGCTAGAAAGCACCTACTGCATGCTCGTCTCTCAATACAGAAAGCCTGATATAAACAAAATGCCAGTAGATAAGAATAATTTTTTTTACAGCCATCAGATTTCATCATCAGTGAATCTGTACGCAGCTGCCTGTCCTAGATGGAGAAATTAGATTAAAGTGACATTAAACCCTCAGATTTTTTAACATAAACCAATACTGTAATGTGTGCCTTACTGTAATCCATGGTTGTTTCCCTTCTCTTTGCTGCTCTTCCTTTTAAATCCTCATGTCTTCTCATGCTGGGGGAGAACTTCCCGTTGCAGCTGAGTGCCTCTTCCTGTAGTGCTGGCTCAGGTTGTGAACCTACACACAGACACGATGTATCCATTCCAGAGACAAGGCAGTCTGCTACAAAACAGAAGTTCTCCCGCTACATGAGAACAGATACAGATTTAAAAGGAAGAGCATCAAAGAGAAGGGAAACAACCATGGATTACAGTAAGGCACACATCACAGTATTGTTTTATGTTAAAAAATCTGAGGGTTTAATGTCACTTTAATGTAAATGGAGTGGACTTTGCTAGAAAGCATTATTAGACTTGTTGTCTGGAACAGTTTTCAGAATACAATAATGGGCGATATTTTCTAACACACTGCTGACTTCCTGTCCAATAATCCTACAACAGAAAACTACCAGCTATATTTTATTGCTACTCTTCAACTCAAATGGATGCGGATAGGAAGCTATACTGCAGGCTGCACAGCAACATTACACACGTCAAAATGATTTAATGAACATAAAAGATTTTTCTCATCTGTTTATACAAAATCCCCCAATTAGCATTTCTAACTTGTATCTATAGCAAGGCAATGAGTTGACTCCCCCCCCTCCACCCCCCAAACACTTAATAGAGCAAACAAACAATCTCCATGGTAGATGGAGAGGCAAGTATAATTTTTTACACATACTTCTGGTGCAGAGGCCCCGTGAGCAATAGTGGATCATGACTGAAGACAGATGTGCACAATATGCATTTTCTGTAAGCTGAGCAGAAGTCAAACACATCCTGAACATAAATGTAGTCAGTGACCATGTATACAGCAGTATGCTGAATTTTCAAAGGTGTCACTGCAAATCAATTACACCATCAATAGCATATCAACTACCCACAACATGGTACTTGAACCATGTACGTGGATTACACAGTTATTATATAGGTCTGATATGAAATTCTGCATATTTTTCACTTTCATTTCAGCTCTGAGCAAACTGCTAGTTTTAAAGTGCTTCAAATCTGATCTCTAAATGAACAGCATTGTGACTTAGAACGCACACAATGCCAGTGATGAGGAAGGAACATTTGGACGGTCATGTGAGGTACTCACCATTCACTAGACTGAAGTATAGGAGACTCATTCTGCGCTATGTGGTATAAGGCACTCATTGCATTCATATTAAACAAAGGAGGCTTCCTTTCAGCTGTGGAGAACAAATATCATCAAAGTGTTAAGTTCTACAATCACTGCACATATTCCTCCTACAATTACAATCAACAGATTATTTTCTGGGTTTAATTCATCAAGGGTAATGTCAAGTTTATTGCATCTTTAGTTAAGGGTTTTATCATCTGCCAGGTTATGTACAAATACACATATAACCAGAGTATATACTTAAGAGTTCCATAGAGAGGGATACACAGCAAAAGACTATCACAGAAAGGGAGAGACAAAATGCCAGTAGAAGAGAACCATAGAGAGGTTGGCAAAAGGTTGTTTGACAACTAACAAGTTGTTCAATGGTACGGAAGCTTGAAATGAAGCAGCAAGAAATGCTGTGTGAATTGCTTTGCCTGCCAACACACATGCAGGAATAATATAAGAGCGGGAAGGGGGATCAGCTCCAATGGAGGAGGGCACTAAACAACTCAGTTACATTAAACTCCCCCATTCATCTGCAGACAAAACCAGCTGCTGTTCAGGAAAAGTCGAATATCACATAGCGATAAGCATAAGCAGTGAATGTGACTTTCAAAACATTCACTGGTAGTGAATCAATCACTTTTTGCTGAATGTCAGATTCACTGCTTTAAAAATGTATGCCCCATAGTGTCATCTCCCACAGTCACAGAATGGATCCCACATAATTAATTGGTTCTGGGTATTGCAAGGGAGATAAAACTTTTTGTAAAATACTACAAAATCATAGCAAATTGCCAAGCCCATGAAATGTTCAGTTTTTTTGGTTAACTGATCATATATAAGAAGTATGTTTTTTTGATTACCAGTAATGTCTCAAACAAAAGGAATCAACCAGTTTAAATCACAGACAGACCTAAGGTAGAACCAATAAATGTAAGGCAAGATTGCTGAAACCTACGCCAACAGCATGTTACATTCTTATAATGAAGCCGCTTAAAAGTGTGTATTTCGAGCTATGTCATCAGGATCTATAAAATTATTTGATAAAGCAATGCTGGGTTTCACATGACATATTCATATATTTGGCACATCATAATGGGAAAAAAAATCAGGGTGGACATACCTAGTTCAATACAAGTAATCCCCAAAGACCAAACATCCACTTTTCCATCATACTGTCCTTCATCCATGGCTAAGATTACTTCAGGGGCCATCCTAAAATGAGAGCATGAGAAATTAAAACATAATCCATGAAGTTTTCCAACAATCCAAATCTTTTGTTTTCATCATTGTTTTAGCATCTGAAACGAAAACCTCTTGTGTAAGACCCACAGTAAGGGGAGAGATTTCTTCTAAAATGAACCACACCATGGCAGGCCAACCAAAATATTAGTTTGGGCTAGAAAGACGCTCTCATAAACCTATAATGTCATAGCATCCGGGACGGTGATGGTGAAAAGCAGATTGATCCCCAAATGACATCCAAGCTGAAACTGGCATACATCTACATTTGCCTGTATAAGAAAAACCTGTAAAAGAGAAAATACAGTGGCCGCCGTTTTGACCTCCTCAAGAAAATGGTAGTTGCCTGGCTGATCTGGCTTCAAACACTTGAGAAGGTGACTTTGAAAAAGCATCAAACTTAAGAGTAACTGTACCCATATGTTTGAAATGACAACAAAAGGCACCTTTAGAATTGTTTAGTAATGTTAAGCTACAAACAATACAGCTAGATAATTGCCGGCTTTGTATTCTTTGCATACCTTATTTTTCTTTTTTTCCCCACTCATCTCACAGTGGGCATTTTTACTGAGGGCGAATATATATATTATATATACACATATACATATATCTAAAGATATACATCTCACTTTACTTCCTGGAAAAATGCCTTTCCCTGAGATCCAATAAGATTACAGATGAGATCTCCCAGCAATGCTCTGCTGATGTAACCTTCCCAGGATGCAACGCTTGGGCACATTACATCACTATTGTTCAAGAGGACCAGAAAGTAGAAAAACAGTAATTGTAGGTAAAAGTAAAATACGCTGGTTTAACTAATGAATGTAAGATGATTTCATATCAGCACGCAGAGCTGCATGCTGCTGTGATTTTTAGTGAAAGGGGTCCAATTTAAGTCAGAACTCCAAATTGTCATACTCATTCTGTCTCAATAGCTTACTGAAGCAACTAGATCAGCAGGAACTAATTATTTCAACCCTAAAAGTATTTATAGCATGTTTCCAAGTAGAAATAAATGAATTACAGATCAAGGGTCCATGCTGATAAAAGTATAGAAATAAAAAAAATAAAAGATAAAACGTCTCTTAATTTTTTATTTACAGATTTAAAGCTTGCTGGTGTCGCATATAGAAGACAATAATGGCCTATACCTTGGAAGGTTTATGTGGCAAACAGGGAAGAAGCGAGAAGAACATAGAAAGGAAAGGTTAGTGAGAGAGCCCGCTATTGTCTTCCATTACCGTTTTCATAGGAATTAGGATTTTGGTGGGTAGCAAGTAGCGGAAATATTGAGTCCACAGATTTCATATTCTAAGAAATTTGTCACAGGCGTCTAAGATCATACAGGTTATCTTTTATTATTACCGATTAATTTAAAAGAATTATCGGCTGTTCAATTGTAGCACATTGTGTGAATTGGTTTTTCACGCTCAAGCTATGATTTGTTTAGCAGCCAGGGGAACTAATCTCAGAAGGAGAGGACAACAATGGCAGCCTCCATACTTTCTCACTACAGCTTTCCTTAACAGGCTGACCTAGGGTCTTTAGATGTCACAGCCTTTCACAATCCCCCATCCCCCTCCTTTATCTTGGGTACATAAATAGCTCTGCTTAAGTGGAAAAAAAAATATGTGAAGTGAACTAAAGAGTGCTTTCTGAAAACAACTTTAAAATTAATTTACAAATGGTAACGGACACTAGCTTAAGAATAATCTTTCTCCGATTTAGAGTTGGTACTTAAGAGAATCATTCTTTTACATTTTGTCTGATATTACCTGATAAAGCAGTGATTACATTACACTTAGTCAAATTTTTTTCCCTCCCCCAATGTTTATTAAAGCACTTATCTTAAATGATGTCTCTTAATCCGATCTTCTTCTTTCCTGTCCTTTTCATCCTTCTCTCCAGCGCTGCTCCTCTGTCCTTGCTGGCACTTCCTGTCCCACGGTGTCTGCATGCGGGCGCACACGTCGATAGACTTACCTTGCATCTCTCCTCGCCTCCAAAAATCCAAACTGCGCATGTGCCCGCCCCAAGATGCTTTGCGGCCACCCGAGCAGTTTCATATTTTCGGACGGGTTAGTGCGGCAAAGGCAGGGGTAAGTGTAAACCGCTTTTACAGCGGGTTTTTTTCCCCCCTACTTTTTGCATATATCTACTGCTTGCTAGCAGTAGATACACTGAGTGGAAAGATTATTATGACCACCCCATCAGTACTTCGTTGGGCCGCCCCGTGACTCCACGACATGACTTCGATGGGCCGCCTTGTGACTCCACGAGATGTTGAAAGGTGATGCGAGGAATCTGACACTCCACTGTTGCCCTTCTGTTGTCTTGTACCAGTCTTGCCACTCTCCGTTCTGCCCTAACATTGACTAGTCACTGACGGCCACAATTCGCACGTTCAGACCCAGATTTTCGGCTGACAGTCCAGTCTATAAACACTTTAACAACAGCTGCTCTTGAACATTTAACGCATTCTGCTGTTTTGCTGATACTCGCTCGATGGCTCCGAGCGCCAACAATCATCCCACGTTCAAAGGCTGTTAAATCGCGTTGTTTACCCGTATCTTCACAAAAAATAACTTCTACTGTCGTGGTAAACAACCTGCTTCCCTATTTATAATGGTCTGGCCCTCTAGCAACTTCAGCGAGAAATTATAGCTAATTTGCTTACAAACGTCAGGTGGTCATAATAATCTGGCCACTCAGTGTATATGCAAAAAAACCGGCGGGTTTAAAAACCCTTTAACTCTCAGAACCAGCCAGTTCATTACTGATGGTAAAAAACCTGATCATTTTAGGACTGCAGAGTTCAAATTGTGTCACAATAGTCTGTCAATAATATTGGTTATCAGTTTGCAGAGATACTTTCTAGGCATGCACAAAGCTAAAGGGAAGCAGATAGTTCTCCTTTCCCTAATACCCACAGAAAGTACAGAGTAACAGCACCAAAGCAGGGGATGACTTTCTTATTACAACACAGATTAAAATCAGGCCCAACACAAAAGCAGACCTTCTCATACCCAGTCAGTCTGAGAAAGGATATAGGCATGCAATCATCACATTTATGGACAGAGAAAAGTAACAATGTTTAAAGTGATAATAAAGCTTTGTTTGTTTGTTCTTACAGCTAGTGTCCCCGCAACGCTCATTCCCCCGCCCACCGCACGGGTGCTTCCATCAGCTAAGCGACTGCTGTGGAGGCACCTGTGCATGCACTTTCCTGGTTGAGCGGCAGGCCACACCTCTCCTCTCAATAGGTTGATTGATCCCAATAATACTAGAGTAACTCTATACACTCTTTATTTTGCCTCCTTTCAATTTATTATTTCATTATTATGCATTTCTATTTCACGGATTATCTCAACTGTGTTTGCTGTAATGAAATTAGCTAAATTTCAATAACGCTTTGTTAAAGGGAAACAAATCTAGACAAACTCTAGACATTTCCACATATTACGCCAATAATCAATGCTCCATTAGGAGTGTGAATTCTATGACATGTAGCCAACTAATACTTTAAGACATTTCAGATCCAGTTTCTATAGCAACAAAAAACATATGTTTAAAAAAAAAAAAAAAAAAAAAGATACTACCTGATGTTAAAATTACAAGCAGAGACATACAACGGGCTGGGAAAAAAAAAACCTCACAACTCCTTACCAATATGGTGTCCCCACAAATGAATTGGCTGGAGAGGCTATAGAAGCAGACCCAAAGTCAGCAAGTTTTACTTGGCCCGGCTCTGTGAGAAGGATGTTGCCTGCCTTGATATCTCTTAAAGGGGAAAGAAAATATATGTTAGAACACATGACAATGTAAATACATTCATGGTAATTATTTCATCAGTTTGTTAATTTTGAGCTGTTCTGAAAACAATTAAAAGAGGAACTGAACTCTGGAAGTTGTGCCCAAAAAAAGGCAGTCAGAGGGACTAGGGACTAATCACCATTGTGGCCTGTGCTTTCCCTGCAGCTGAACTTTCCCCAATATTGACTTATCATGCCTTGCAGTGGACTGTAACACTGTGTGGAGGCAGCATTCTTTGTACATGACAGGGCATTTCCTTCCTCATGACAGACACCCGCAGCAAGGAGAACAGCGAGTGGCACAGTAGTAACATATACAAATCTTACACCAGATCTCCTGGTAGTCAGAGGCAGCAGTGCCTTAGATCTCACACTGCAGATATACAGCTATGGGGCTGTAGGCACAGGAGAGTCTAGGCACAGTCACATACCAGGAAGTGCACTGATATTTCTCGGAAGGAATTCCAAGCGAGTTTACAAGCTGAAGTAATTGTGCTTGATCTCGGGAAGTTTCCGGGTAGAGAGGTGAACGATAGCAGACGAACAAGAACGGGCTATCATTGACCGTAGAGTACCGCACGGAAATTTAGGTTTTTCCATATGCAGCACTGCTTATTGGGTTTTAATGCAAGTGTCTAAAGAATTCATGACAAAGTTTTAAAAAGGATTTTACTAGAGCTGCAGCTAACGATTATTTTCAAAATCGATTAGTTAGCCGATTATTAGGTTCGATTAATCGGTTAATCGGATAAACAATAAAATAAAAGTTTAAAAAAAGGCTCCAGTGATGGGACTACTAGTTTGTATTGAGGTTGTAGTCCATCACAGGAGCAAGCTTGGAGCGAATTGGCAGCGTCGAGCGTGAGGTGGGGAGGAGGTGCGGCACACAGCGTGTGGAGCTGTGAACAGGGCCAACTGATCGGAAGCCGATTAATCGATTATTGAAAAAGTTGACAACTTTTTCAATAATGCCGATTAGTTGTTGCAGCCCTATATTTTACACTATGTAGCATCTATCTTTTCCTCTATGGGATATGAGCAAGCTATAAGAGTTATCGCTTTATGGATGAAGTATCCATCGGCTGTCTGGAATGGGAGAGAATCTGGATCATTAAGGATTTTAAATTGAGCTTTAAACCAGGGGTAGCCAAACGCCGGGCCTCCAGCGGTGATAGAACTAAAAATCCCATGAGGCATTGCAAGATTCTCACAGCCATGAATCCCAGAGAGAGATGTATCATGGGATTTGTAGCTTCACCACAGCTGGAGGGCCGAAGTTTGGCTACCCCTGGTTTAAACCATCCAAAAGTGGTTGAAAGATTCCATTGAGTGCAATATTGAACATAGGCACCTCGGATTAACTCTGAGAAGCACCTGTTCTGGTTTGAAGTGGAGCACAAGATTCACTTTACACAGTATCAGGAGGATCTTTAAAAGGACATTTAATGTGATGTACATAGAGTGATTTTTAGAGTGTTATATGTGGAGTACATCACATTGCATGGTGGATACACTGGTGGAATTTTTACTGGAAGAGTATAGTTTTTGGTGGTAATAGAACATGCACTTTAGTGCCCGTAAAAGCATTTAAAGATTTTAGGTATACTTAAGATAGCGCGGCGTATTTTAGTTTAATTTGGTTGTGAAGTGATTACACATTTAATTCACTTTTTTCACTGCGGCTGTTAGATTTATTAGTTTTTACGGAGTACTAGAAGTGTGGATTTTTGACAAAATTAACATTTCTACAGGTTACCTATAATACAGAAAATCTACTTTAATGCACACTCCAGAATACTGGACAATAGATTTAAGCGGTGACTCCAGGTCATTTAAACCAGTTTTGTTAAAATATAAATAAATGTATGTACGCATAGAACTAGTACAAGTACTTAGATTTGTCTTTAGATTAGCTTTCTGAAATCTCCTGCAAAGTAGGACCCAAATGGGAGCAGGAAGGGCAGCTAAGTTAGTCAGCAACACTTGGTCACTGGTCACTACTGATTCCAAACAAGTATGCAGATCAGGAATGTTGGAGAAAAGTCACTTATCTGCAAGGCTGCAGGTTACAGACCCCAAATAATGGAATTTAAAGGCTTAACCTAAGAGGCATTTGGGATTTTCAGATGTAAAAGGTCAGTAATGGCAGCCTCCAAATTTGTGTCATAAGAGGTTTCTTTGACAAATTTAAGATGCTTACAGAAGAGGAGAGCAAGCCAGACAGTGTGCTGTTTTTCCTTGATTGTCCAATTTCAGGAAGACGTGGGTCTAGACCAGGTTATATTGCATAGCTGCAGTGAGGTCCAAACCTTCGCTATGCTCCCTGGCTCACAAATTAGCAGTTAACCGTTGCAGTGCAGGGGTAGCCACACTGTAAGGGGTAATTTTGTAACTGCCCGGAGTTGTTCTTTAAATAGGTTAATTCAGAAGTTATAAAAGTGAAATACAAATAACATACATGTTGATTCACTTCAGGTGACAACAATGCCTTGGTATTAATGATGTTTCAATTTCTATAGAGCAGGCGAAATTTGGGCAACGTCCCCAAGAAATGGTATCCACAAGTGGGGAGGCTGCTATGACAGAGTTAGGACTGCCACTGACAGTTACTAGCTATGGTCTGCAAGCTTTTTTCCTACCGACATACTACACAATTGGACTGATTTGGGAGTTGAGTTAGAGGATCTACACAGAATAAATTGTGTGAATTTTAACATCATCAATTATCCAATCATGTGGATCATTGTGTAGCCACCTTCCCCTAAGCAGGGTGACTCAAATTTAGTTTTTGCTGGACTGTATCCAGTCTATATTGATTCAATAGTTCTGTGCTCATTTGGTTTTCCCTAAGCTCTCTGTTATTGTTTGCATCTGCCTGCTGCTAGGTGTGACCTTTAAATAGAGCAGAACATCCAATCGCAGTTAGGTATGTCTCACTAGCCAATCACTAGGAGGTTCATGGTCTGTGGTGCATTCTGGTGGAGGGCATAAATATTCAGGGCTGGGGAGGGTGAATGATGCTCCTTTGTCAACTCCTCCCATACTCGTCTCCAGGACTTCTATAGAGTATATCCCATCCTCTGGGACTCTTTACCCCAACCTGTCCGTCTATCCCCCACCTTGACTACCTTTAGGCGTTCTATAAAGACTCATCTCTTCAGGGAAGCCTATCCCACCTCAAATTAATCACTGAACCATCACGTACTCAAACAATTAATCCCCACACAGCTACCTCCTCATGTATCACTTGCCCCTCCCTTTTAGATTGTAAGCCCTCTCGGGCAGGGCCCTCCTTACCATCTTGTCTTGTGTATTGCGATTGTAATGTCTTCCTTATATTGTAAAGCTCTGCGCAAACTGTTGGCACTATATGAATCCTGTATCATAATAATAATAAGCTATCTGACCAGACCTGCAGGTTGTCAGGAATGGAGACCCAGTCAGGGTCTGCTGCTGTCCTGTCAGTGATAGGAGAACCAGAGAGGAACTTCATCTGCTGGATGTACGAGTATAGCCAGGATCAGGTTTGGACCTCGCAGGAAGTCTGGTGTCTTACCTGGGGAGTTCTGCGCTATGTCTGCTAACCCGCTAAAGTACTACAATACACAGTGCTAGTACAATCAGTTTAAAGGCCCTGTGCAGCTGGGAAGTGGTCGGTGAGTCTAGAGTCTGTATCGCTCTAGGTGTTTGCAGCCCTTTACCCTCTCTCTCCCATGTGAGCTGTCGGAGGAATAGGATTTTTGAAAACACTTAAAGTGACTGGCACCCAACTTAACATTTGCCTCCCTCAAGCAGCTAAGGACTCACCCCTTAGGTGAAATGTCTAAAGTCTCCCAGAGGTCAGGGAGGTGATTCATTTGCTTTTTACATGAATAGATAACAAAGTAAACATTCATACAATTTATTGTGTGAAGATTTTAAACTCCTTTAGTAAATCAGCGTCAATACTTTACAAAACTATGAATTCAGGGAACTGAGTAACACCTCAAAACAGCACCCTGAAAACTGGACTTGCTATAAATCTTTGTTAAAATAGGAGCTAAATCTTCCTATAGCTCAGAAAATGATTGTAGCTTTTATAAATTATAAAGCAAACACACTCAAAACAGATAATGATTGCAGACAAGAGGCTGATTAGGTACACTGCACAAAGCCTAGCTGAATAGGAAAAAAACCCCATTTAGTATAAAGAAGATTCAACATTAATGGGTAAGTGCACTTTATATTCAAACTTTTTTTTGCCTTTTTGCACTGACTAAACTCCCCCCCCCCCTAACAGATGTACACTTACTTTGATCTGACAGCCGCAGTCTCTGGTGTTTGTTTAAATCCTGGCTGCGCCTGCACATTAAATCCCCAACAGATTTCTGTTGGGTTGTCTCCAGTCTTGGGACACAGCCCTATAGATGTCTATGTGGCTGTAATACACAGGTGTTACCAGGACAAATGAGACTTGCGGAGCTTACTGTATACAATCACCAGAGGCTGCGGCCCCCAGATTGGATAAGTATGCATCTGTGGAGGGCAAAAGGTAGTTTCTATTGGGTCAGGACAAGGGGGCACAAAATGTATGTATGTATGTATGTATGTATGTATGTATGTATGTATGTATGTATGTATGTATGTAACATACATACATACATACATACATACATACACACATACATATATGTGCACTTTGTCTTAAAGTGCACTAATCCTTTCACTGAAAATTGTAACTATGTGAGAAACTTTGATACGTGTGTACATTTTAAAAAACAAACCAAACTCTATATTCACAAATACATAACATACTCACCGATGGATTAAATTATGAGAATGCAAATAAGCTAATCCCTGCAGTGCTCCGTGTGTAATTGCTGCAATTTCATTTTCTTGTAATGGCTTTTTGTGTACTAGAAGAAAAGCATTAAATATTAAAATAACATATGCCAAACAACCTGTAACCTTTACTGCTAAATTACCACCATGTATCTATATCTGAGTGGTGTGCAAGTATAAGCAACTTTGATGTTTGAAATTACATGGATCAAGCACTAACAACAGTCACTGTGCTTTTCTATGGACTCTGTAGACCAGAAAAAAATTAAAATCACCAGCAACAGTTTCTCTGGCAGATTGTGTAAGATTTTACACTTTGACAAGAAAGTAGAGGGCTGCCTACTCACTTATGACAACCTCTAACTGAACACAAGAAATGGACTACAAACACATTATACATTTCATTAAAGTCAGTTTAAGAATTACCTTCTAGTAAGTCTGATGCAGATCCTAAACAATATTCCATGACCAGCTAAGGAAGAGAAGAATATAAAATATTAACTTTGCAATATGTAATATAGCACAACTCAACAAACCTGTGCTGAAAAGAAAACAGCCAACATTACCTTTCAACAGCTGTGAGACAATTCTAATCATGGAAAGAAGATAGATGGGATGTCAACCAATATATAGAAGTGTGCAACCTGCAAAGCCTAGCTTGCTTGGCCAAAAATCAAGCAAGTATGTGAGAAATCTAAGGAATGGTAAGCTGCAATATACTGTATATAATATACTGTATAATATATATATATATATATATATATATATAGATAGATAGATAGATAGATAGATAGATAGATAGATAGATAGATAAAGAAGGCCTGGCTCGCAGTCTCCGCTCTAATTCACCCCAAAGATGTTCTATCGGGTGGAGGTCAGGACTCTGTGCAGACCAGTCAAGTTCCTCCACCCCAAACTCGCTCATCCATGTCTCTATGGACCTTGCTTTTGTGCACTGGTGCGCAGTCATGTTGGAACAGGAACTGGCCCCACAAACTTGGGAGCATGAAATTGTCCAAAATGTCTTGTTATGCTGATGCCTTAAGAGTCCCTTCACTGGAACTAAGGGGCCAGGCCAAACTCCTGAAAAACAACCCTACACCATACTTTACACTTGGCACAATGCAGTCAGGCAAGTTCCGTTCTCCTGGCAACCGCCAAACCCAGAAACTTCCATCGGATTGCCAGACAGAGAAATGTGATTCGTCACTCCAGAGAACACATCTCCACTTCTCTAGAGTCCTGTGGCGGCGTGCTTTACACCACTGCATCTGACTCTTTGCTTTGCACTTGGTAATGTAAGGCTTGGATGCAGCTGCTCGGCCATGGAAACCCATTCCATGAAGCTCTCCTCGCACTGTTGTTGTGCCAATCTGAAGGCCACATGAAGTTTGGAGGTCTGTAGCTATTGACTCTGGAGACAGTTGGCGACTTCTGCACATTGTGCGCTTTAGCATGCGCTGACCCCGCTCTGTCATTTTACATGGCCTACCACTTCGTGGCTGAGTTGCTGTTGTTCCCAGTTGCTTCCACTTTGCTCTAATATCACTAACAGTTGCCCATGGAATATTTAGTAGCAAGGAAGAGAGCGACCCATTATTTCACAAATGTTTGCAGAAGCATCTGCATGCCTAGGTGCTTGATTTTATACACCTGTGGCCATGGAGGTGATTGGAACACCTGAATCCAATGATTTGGAGGGGTGTCCCAAAACGTTTGGCAATATAGTGTATGTTTTTCTTCGGGATAGATAGATAGACAGACACAGACAGACAAGACATTTGAATCGTAACTGGCTTGTATGATACACAGCAAAGGCTTTTCTGACAGCTAAATAGTGATAGAAGTGTTTTTATTTTCCAATTTACTTTTATTGCTATAACTATTTTATTTAAATTCTAATAAAAGGATAAAACAGGGCAAGCTCACCCTGTTTACAGATCTCACCTGGACTGCCCTCTACTGGTAGATATGGTGATAATTAGGGATTCACCGATACCGGTATTTTGGTACAGAGTACTGATAGTTTTTCGGTACTCGCCGATACCAATTACCGAGTAACGGAAGTCCTATTCAGAAAGCCAGGTGGCGTGTAATGACTCGCCACCTGGCTTCCCGATTAACAAGAAAATCCCCTCTTACCTTGGTATGTCCAGCCTGTCACCCCCGGGGCCTCTCCAGCCAGAACACGGCCAATCAGGAAACCGGGCAGCGTGTAATGACCTTTATACTCTTTATACACTTCAATAGCTTATTGCTGGGCTTCAGGAGCCCAGAACTGACAGCGATGGGATCGGAAGTGATGCAATACGCGTCGCCCCCTGTCCCATAGTACTAGGAGGGGATCGGCGCACGGATGTACGTCTCTCTCCTCCCCAGCTTCCCGTTGACACCCGGCAAGCCAGTCCTGGGCCCGTAGGAGGGACAACGGAGCCCGGGAAACAAGGAGGGGGTGTCAGGCGCCAGAATCACTTCTATTGTAAAGCCGGTCGCCGGCTCTGCAAAACTGAACAGACTCTAAAAGCCGCCGGGAGCCTGTGTAACCCCTTCCGACTTCATGAGGAGATTATCCCGTCATAGGTCGTGAAGGGGTTAAAGACAACAGCATAAGGTTTAAATCTGTAGAAATAGATATTTGCTCCTTCTATAGAATGCGAGTATATTACCAACTGTCAAGGCAGCAAGTTTCCTGGCCAAATGAGGTAGTAAATCAAAATCAATGACAGAATTAAAGAACAGACTTCTTGCTTCTATCCATGGTTATAGTTACTAAACAATAACATGCAAATTATCCAGAGATTTATCCCAACTGCAAATATTGTGGTAAGGGAAGAATTACTTTTTCCAATGAGAGGCAAAATTGGCTTTAGGTTCCTTCACACCAATGATGCCACAAGTTGTGGAACGCTGCTTTCAACTGTGCCAACAATAACTGTAAGTCTGTGCAATTTGCTTGTGACAGCACACAGTAGCAGGAAGGGAATAAACATCCCAAATCAATAACTGTTATACAACGAAACAATTTTATCTGCTAGATAGCCTACAAGACTCGTCAAAAAATCACTTGTGTGCAATTTGCAACGGTAAACACTTATCAAAAGAATCCCAAATTACAGTAAGGGAATCACATATTTTATACTTAATCTGGTAACATGGAAGCTGGAGGTAAATAAACATGCATCTGAATAGTATAGAAGAGAAGAGAGATACTTTGTCTGCTTTAAAAATATACACGTTTAACACAAAAAGACACATGGAGACCCACTGAGACCAGGCAGACACAGGGATAACACAATGGCACAGTTGTAGCCGAGTAAAAGGATTTTTACCCATGCTGTATGTTCCCTCAGATAGCAGCCTTTATATTCTATACTGTTCGGATGTTTTATCCTTTGAAGAAATTTCACTTCTTTGATGATATCCTGCCATTTCTGTGGAGAAACATAGAAATCTTTGATATGACTCTAGTATGATCACCTGATAAAAAAAAACATCTTATAGGACAATTGTAAGAGGAAATATCTAAAAAGAGCTAGTTTTTTTTTTTTTAAGATTTTAACACGTCACCTTGCTAAAGAATACCAAGAGATGGAATATATTAAATACTAGAAAATGCTTCATTTTAACAAAATATAAACAAGTGGGAGATTTTGCACATCAACCCTGAATCAAGTTATTCCAAATAAAGCTGGTCATACATGGCTCTAATTCTAGTCAATTCCTGTGAATCGGCCAAAATTCGAGCTCTGGATGGTCCTGCCAACCCCACCCAGATTGACAAACTTGGATTAAAAGATTGAAGGAGCCAGGTGGAAACAAGTTGCCCAAACAGTGACTGCAGCCATCAGCCACAGTCACGTTTTGGGTATTCGTTAAGACAATAGCTGTCAGGAAATGTAATTTAGCATTCTATTGAACCCATGCAGTCGTGGCAGTCATCAAAGCCTTAACCAGTGGCTCCTCCCCAGCACCCACAGAGGTAGTAGCAGAAAACAATGTAAGATAGTAGCTCCCACTCTTTTGCCCCACGTGGAGGGGAGAAGCATCACACGCCAGGCTTACCATGCCCTAGACCAGTGGTTCGCAACCTGGGGGTCGGGACCCCTTCGGGGGTCGAATGACGATGTGCCAGGGGTCGCCTAGCGGCTTCCGGCCACCCAGGAGAGAAGCGCTTTCTCTGCTCTTTTTTTTCCAGTCAGAAAAGAAAAAAAAAACTTTCCAGGAGAAAGATATTTTTTTTTTTCCGACAGGGTTAAAAGTAAACCTGCCGCTCCGTGTGCACAGTGAGAGGGGATAGCAGTCTTCCTCTCTCACCTGCCACAGAAGTTCCCGCACAGTGCTGTGCTAGGACTCCTGTATTGGAGGTGACAGGGTCAATAAAGAGAACCTGTCACCTCTTTGTGATAGCAATGAAGTTAAGTGGAAAAAAAAATATATACAAAAATGATTAAAGAAAAATAAAATAATAAACAAAAAAAAAATCGATTAAAAAGAAATAAGAAACAAATAATTCAAAAATAAGAAAATTATAAAAAATAAACAATAAAAGGTGAGAGTCCTCCTCATCCCTCTCCTAGCGCAGCAGTGTCAGTTCTCCCGCCACGCCGCCAGATGTCGCTGCAGCAGCCGCGTCATCCCTAAATTTTACCGTTGGGGGTCACCACAACTTGGCAAATGTTACCAAGGGGTCCCTGCCCTAGAAAGGTTGAGAACCACTGCCCTAGACAGTGCTGTTGCAGCCAAACCTGCACAGTGCAAGAAAATGTATATGCTTGAATGCTGAAACTGGGGAGACTAGCAGGATGTGTCAAATATGATTGAAGGAAGTAGGGTGTCCAAGAGGAAATTTCTATGTCCTAACATCTTGATGCCAAGCTAACAACTGAGCTTGTTCCACAGTGTGGGATTTCAGCCACCAGCAGGCACAGTCCCTGGGCTTTTTTGTTGTTGTTGTTGTTGTAACTAGGTTCCTCTGATATGCTCATGCAAATCATAACAGGTTCACCTGCCACACATGCCTATTTCACAGAGAGCGCTACAGTGTCAAGGTGCTAAAAGTCAGTTTACTAATTTATTTAATGATGCCTATGGCCTTAAACAATGTTAGCCAATTCAAAACACAGCATATGAAACAATGCACCTGTGACAAGAATAAAAACTGCTTAGCTGTTCCTCATACATAGCTCATTCAACGACAAGAACATCAAATACATCAAGACAGTGCAGGTCATCAATGAGGCATCTAAATGAATGTACAAATGGGAATACACTGATGGGGAGTATAGATGCTGCAGTGCTTCCAGCTTTAAATAAAAAGCACTCATGCATCCCTGTATCTGTGCATGCTTTCATCTCTTCTGTATCGGCCAACCATGAGCAAGCCAAAGGGAAAATACAGATCTACAGTAATGGACAGCGCTTCTGCAGACAGCTTCACAAAAGAAAAAAGTTAACTGCCAGAGTGGTTGGGAGTCAAAGTCAACCTGCAACTTGCCCATGCATAGCAAAACAGGTTCACTTAACTGCTGCCCTCCCTAGTTGCACATACGCATTTTCTGTGTGCTCCCTGCCCCCATGTTTGGCCACTGGGAGCAAAAAAAATACCTGGGATTTATTCCCCTTCAGATCACATGACAGTGCTGGTGCTTGACTGCTTAGACACATGGGGTGAGGAGAAAGTACTCAACCCTGCGTAAGCAGGCAGCCTAACAGAGCAATGGGGGAGTGAAAGCAAGAAGATTAGGTGCAGCTACAGAGGGCGCCACTTGAGTAAACCCTTTACTTTGCCACGAATGGTCAACAAATACTTTAGGTCAACTTTAATAGACTTATTGTTTACTATTAACCTTACTACAAACTATTTAAAAGAATCCACTAATAAACCTTTTATACAGGTACCAAGAATGCAATAACCAGTTTCAAAAGTCTTGCTAAACAAGCAGGAGTGACTGCATACTGAAGAGCTGCAGGAATAGAACCTACCACTTCTGCTCTGTAAACTATGACAAAGCAGTATGTCAGCTAAATCTATACGTACACAGACAATTCAGACTCCCTGATGTCAGATAAATTATGTGGCAGAAGGGCAAACAAATCAAAATGCCAAGGGAATAACAATTAGCTCCCACAACTGGTATCCAATAATAGCTGTGATGGCAATAACCAGCAAATAATGTGCAGAATAACAACGGTTACATATTGGTGAACTAAAGAAAAGATGGAGAGAACTAAAAAGGTGTATTGACTAAGAAGTATGGATTCATGGATCAGTGTTAAATGCATCACTGGTGCTTTTAGGAGAACCTGTAGTGTAGTATAGTACAGAAAGATATATATCAACATCTACACAAAATAAAAGGCTAGCAAATGTAACACATTTTAATCTCCAAAATTCTAACCTACATACTATTAAATTAGTATCAGACATATCAATCATTTATAAAACTGTTTAAACCCTTGAGAAAAGACAAGATTAAGTTTCTAAAGCCTAACGGTGACCTTCTGTTCTTTGCTCCCGTTCGGTCTGTTTAATACACCATTTGAGAAGAGCTTTCTCCTATGATACCGTACTGATGCTTGTTTTGGTTTTCCTTGACCTGCTTTATTGTACTCTATGTACGACTGTTTCTTTTTCTATTATATTGAAAAATCTATAAATAAAGAATGTATAAAAAAAAAAGAAAAAAAAAAAAAAAAAAAAAAAAAAAAAACAAGAGCTGAACGAATTGCACATTAAAAAAAAAAAAAAAAAATTATAAAAAAATTTAAAAAAAAAAAATGAAAAAAAAAAAAAAAAAAAAAAAAAAAAAAAAAAGAAGAATATCAGAGCTGTCCTGTGCCCTCTGCACTCTGCACTCTTCCTGTGTGCCCTTCCAGCATTTATGTTGCAAATATCTGAGAGTGGGAGTTTAGCAAATTGCATTGGGCAGGGTTATCACCACTCAGTCCACAAAAATGCCCTGTGTTGTCATCTCACAATAGGGCTTAAGAGTCGAGTGCATGTCTGTCAGATGAACAGGTATTTTTCTGTACTTGCAAAGTCCTTAAAAAGGTGAAAGTTCATGTTTTGTACTCCAAGTGTCATTAAAGGAGAACTATGAGGCGAGTGAAAAATCACTTATCCTCATAGTTCGAGCCGACGTGCGACAATGAAACTGTCACACGTCGGCTCAATAGATCGGGACGTGAGCATACCGTTGCTCATTCACTTCTCGATCTCCCTGCAGAGAGTAGTGACTGTAAGTCACCGCTCCATGCAGGGATTCCCCCCCCTCCCCGCTCCGATCCTCCAGCGCTGACTGGAAGTAAAGACAAAAAAGTAAGTGTTGGGCGCACACTTTTATTAATCTAAATTCTGGTTCCCCTGATTGAGAATAATGAATTGTAAAAACGTTGGAGGTTTTAGTAATACCTGAATGTGTTTATTGTTATTGAATTATACAAGTGTTTACTAGAGGCACGCCTACCTGAATGGACTTCTTTCCAGTCTTTATCAAGCCCTGATATTTCCTAGAACAACCATGCTGGTAGCTTAGCCGTCTAAGCGGAAACTGCTACCGTTTTGGAATATGCATTTGAACTTGGGGTGAATGTAAATAGTGTGGCCTAATGGCGCCTCGAGCAGCAAACACGAATGCTAACTCTCAATGATGTAGGCAGAGAACTTGTGAGTACAGAAAATCAAAAAACTTCCTATGGGGATCAATTTAAGACATCCCTGTTCAAATCTTTGGTTACAACAGTGATTTATTGATATAAAGAAGCTTACCTCATTTGACTGCTTGCCACTGTAGGACATTTTCTTGATGGCCACCACTTCATTGGTACGCACATCATGTGCCTAAGACAGAGATGAAAAAAAAGAATAAAAAAAAAAAAAAAGATCTATCGGTGGCTGTCATCCGCCCACACCTGCTCCTCCTTACTTCTTCTCCCCGCGTCCCTGTGCTGATCGTGGATTTGGGCATGCGGTGAGCGTGAGGCAGAGAGAGGTGCGGCGTGTGGATGCGGGCAGGCGGGTCTGTCAGCGGCGAGCATGAGGTGGGGAGGAGGTGTGGGGCGCAGCGTGTGTGGAGCCGTGAACAGGTCCAACCAATCGGAAGCCGATTAATCGATGATTGAAAAAGTTGACAACTTTTTCAATAATCGATTATGTCGATTCGTTGTTGCAGCCCTAACAGGGAGGAGACCAATCTGAGTTACCCAACCGTATTAAAAAACAAACAAAAAGAAAGAGTGCGCTCACCAACCTGGCAGGGTCAAGTAAATCTTCTGAATTTATGGACAATCATTCATCTTTTGCCAAGTAAACAAATAAAATGTATGTATTTTGACAAGTGTATTTAGACATCTCCCTGGAGATCAGTCTTCACAGGTTCTAGGTCTCCTATAGCTGAATTGTTTTTCATCTCTAATTTGTATTGTAAAATAGCACAAGCTGCTTGTTGTGGGCAACAAACTCTTTTACCATACTTTATACTTCAGCACCAACACAAATGTTTATATTACAACAGGGGTGGAGAAATTAGGATGGAATTCAGGAGCCAGCCTGTGCAATCCAGGAGTCAGCAGGATTGTTATGTGCCAGCGTCATTGACAATAACTAGAGAAACCCTCAAAAGTTAGGCACCGGCTGTAATTTTAAGGAGCTTTGGCTACCTGGCGCCTGAGATTTGTCCAGCCCTGGCTTACAAGCGAGGGGAAAACAATATCAACATGGAAGTCGCATTGCTACCTTTTTGAAGCAAGCATCATGGTGCTGCAGCTGTTATTTTCTCTCGGTCATACACTATATGAAAATCAGGTTTTTGTTGTGAGAAGCAGTTGCAGCTTTAAGAATACACTGAACAGCAATAATTTCCACCCATGTCATGTTGGACAATTAATCACCCTGAACAAAGTAACAGAGAATGAGTCACTGCCTGTACAGGCCGCACTAGTGTGAAGCCAAATGTTTCTTTCATGACGATCATCAAATGTTTCTTTTATGATGAGCATCCAATAGGTTTGCAGAGCAAGTGCTCTCTAAAATAGCTAGTGGAATTCGGATTGTTCTTGTACATTAAAAAATGTGAAAGATTAAGCTGAAATAGGGCCAAAAGCAAACATTGACAGCTCTGGCAGGTTAATAAACCAGTTCACACAACTATGAATTCATGTACACCTAAATGCAGAGAGCTGGGTGGGTCAGTCTGTACAAACCCCTTGTAAACCCCACAGCCTGCTCTGCTTGCATTTGTAACCAGGCCCAATGCACCGAGAATGTATTACCAAAACTAGCTTCACCTACTTCCATTACTATGAGAGAGTAACGGTGGCCATACATTGTACAATTTTCGTTTGGAAATCGTACACAAACGTTCTTTCGAACAAATGTTGCACAGTTGATGGTACATCATCAATTTTTGTTTTGGATATTGCGAACAAAATTTTTCAATCAACTCGGGATGAAAAATGTCTCTCTGCCCTAACGAAACTTGATGAATGAGTGGGGTTTTCGTTTGTCAAAAATATCATCAAGTAAACAGCACATGAGTTAAATCCTAAAATGCATTCAAGTACCTTAACTATTAACAAAAATGTATCTTATTTGTGTATCAACCGGCTGTAGATCCTCAAATCATCTCTGAATTGGTGCTGACACTGTCCTTCCTTCTGGAGGGTGGCTACTTTTGTTCCCCGTGGTCCTTGTGTGTGTTGTAAAGTAGCCACTGCTCCAAGATTCCTACAATCTCAATACAAATTAGTAAACTATATGTGAGATAGTAGTCCATCACAGGAGCAAGTTCCAGAAGGAAGGACAGTGTCAGCACCCATTCAGAGATGATTTGGGGATCTACAGTCGAGGGATACACAAATAACATACATGTTTGTTAATAGTTCAGGTAACTCCTGAGGTTAGTCCCACTTTGAAGGGTTCTTATAACCTTCTGAATTTTTACCGAGGTGGGGGATTTGATGTTCAGAGAGAACCACTGACTGTCTCTGCCCCCTATGACAAACACTGCAGCACTACCAGAGAAAGTGGAGCACTGGCTTCCGCAGGACAGTATTTCACAGCTACAAGAACCCCAATATATATGCCTTCACTTCTCTATAGAACAGCACCGCTTTCAGAATATATTTTTTTCTCAAAATCCTCACTCATATTACTCCCTAAGGGCTTGTTCACAAGATTTTCTGGTCCAGATCTGGAGACGCAGTGTTGTGCATGCAGTGCGTTTTTGATGTGTTTTTAAAGTGTTCAAGTTTGGTTGGAGTGGGGCTCTCAGTATGTTGGCTGCAGTGCGTTTTCGTTGCGTTTGACGCGTTCGTGCATTTCCGGACCAGACAAAATGTGACATGCAGTATTTTTTCTGTCCAGACCGGAACGGACTGCGCTTGTGAGAACTGTAGCCCATAAAACACATAGGGATACATTTTGGGTGCATGAGCGCACGGATCTGGTCTAGACAGAATCCGGACGTCGTGTGAACAAGCCCTAAATGCTGCTAAATAGTTCTAACAGCCGCAGTGAAAAAGTGAACTCACTTCACAAATGATTTAAATCAAAATAGCGCTGTGTATTTTGATTGAAATTGCTTTCAGAACATGAGTACACATTCATGATTACATATTAAGTGGATGCTTTTACAGATATTCATGCCACTAGTGTATTCAAGGTCTGTATTTTTTGTGCAAAGACATCATTTGTGCCACATGACTGTCTGTCATGTGGCGCAAATGATGTCTTTGCACACCAAATCAATCAGCAAAGCAAACATAAGAACAGGGAATAATCAGCATCTTATTGAAAAATGTCAAGCTGTAAGAAGGCACAACGGGTTTCCATCCTTCTATAATCTGGGTACATTTAAAAAAAAAAAAAAAAAATGTAATACTTACAAAATAAACTGCGCCGAAACTCCCATGACCGATTTCTCGGAGGTCGCTGAAAAGCTTTTCCGGGTCATCCCTAAAGAAGAGCTCTGCTATATCTGGGTCCTTCAGGCTTCCAGCTCGACTTGTTGACGGCATCCTGCTTTAGCAGTCTGCCGTCCAACTATACCAACGGGTTTTCATCCTTCTATAATCTGGGTAAATTTAAAAAAAAAAAAAAAAAAAATGTAATACTTACAAAATAAACTGCGCCGAAACTCCCATGACCGATTTCTCGGAGGTCGCTGAAAAGCTTTTCCGGGTCATCCCTAAAGAAGAGCTCTGCTATATCTGGGTCCTTCAGGCTTCCAGCTCGACTTGTTGACGGCATCCTGCTTTAGCAGTCTGCCGTCCAACTATCTAGGATTGCACAACTGCCACTTTTCTTCTTGGTTCATCTGTGTGAATGTGTCCTCTTCAGCATGGGAAACTGGAAAAAAAGACGTATACCATGAAATTCTGACATAAAAAAGAAAAAAAACATTAAAAAAAACATTTCATTTTTTTTCCCCCGTAAAAAGAAGAAAAAAAAACTGATGCCGCTTGTGCTTAGCAGCCAGTTAACATAAACCTTGATTAAAAATAATCATAACACTAAACCTTATTTCTACACTGCTGCCCAGCTTGGGACAATGCCAAAATACAATGCATAATGGAACAATATTGATCTGGTTATGAGACGTCACACACCATTTGTAACGGAGATGGCCATAACTATAACCTCATTAAGGTATTAGAGGAACTCCAACTATCACTGCTAACACAAGCCTTGTTTAAGGTTGACCCAGTTCATTAAGGGCTAGTTCACACCAAGCGCGGTGCAGAGCAGACCGGATCAAAACTGCATCCAATGTATTCCTATGGTATTTTTAGCTCCAGTTCACATCGCAGCGTGCAGGTCCAGAGCAGGTACAAAAACTGCAGCAGGCCCTATTTTACCTGCTCTGGAGCTGCAAACGCATCAAAAACGCATGCAAATGCCTGGAACGCACTGAAAGCACGTTAAAATTAAAAAAAAATATTTTTTAGCCCAAAACGCGTCAAAACGCATCTAAAAGACTAGCGTGCGTGTGCAGAAACCTGACCGGATCTGCTCTGCATTTGGTGTGAACAAGGCCTAAATGTCAGAGCTCAGATGTGGCCAAATGTGAATTGTTCTTTTTTGTAACAGCTCATTCTCTACACAGAATTTCAGGTTCGCTTTTCTATTTTATCAAAGTTTTTCATCAAAGTGATTTTCTCAGGGTAAACGAAACCTGCAGTTCATTCTTAGACTTCCTCATAGAGTTAATCTCCATCTCCTTCAAAACGTGACCCTTGAGCATGCTGAATTGGGCTTACAAGGATTAAACACACCTATCCACACACGTTACATGAGCTTTATCTAGACAGGATAACCTTCCCCACGTTGTGATATGGTGTTTTTAGACTTAAATGCATAGAAAGTGCATGACGAATACATTTCTTCTGCATATAACTTGCATATCCATTCATTTTAAAACCAGCTAAAAATGTTTTCTTTTGTTCTGCAAAGAGTAAAGAAATGGTTAGACCCCTGTCAATTTTTATCGGGTCTGTAAATCTTTTGAGGAGATTCACCCTCACTGTGCATCTCCATGACACCCCTGTGACACCAGGACGAGAAAAGAGTGGAAAGGGGATCACAGAATCTCAAATCAGGTTTTATTGCTCTTTATGCCTTCCTGTTCCTAAGGCCCGTGGGCTGATCAGGAGGGGATCCCTGCACAGACATCCATGTCCGTCCAGATTTCTTTCTCCATCTTGGAGCAAAGAACTAAAACTGCCGGACCCCATGTCGGTCAACGTGGAGTCGGATGTGAATGGAGATGTGTCCGTTTACATCAGATTACATTAGGCACGAACAGGTCCAGCGAAACAGAACTTTATTCTGTTTGTTTTTCCAGACCTGGCCGGAGTCAGGGCTTATGGGGTGTAAACAGATGACCATACCTTTACCGCCGGTTGCCCACAAACGAATATTGGGAATCAGATCGGACAGCCCGTCTGAAAGGAGCCTTACTCTTCCTCCCTAGACTGAACAATGAGCATTTGTTGTGTGTTTCCACTGCTGAGATTGACCAATGCTTCCAGTCCCTCTGACTCCTGTACATATGAATTTTTTTGTGCAACAACGCATCTTTTTTGGCACCATAGTCTCCAATGGGAGAACATGAAAAAACATACATACATTTTTGTGAGCTTTTGAGCAACCAGTCTCCTCATAGTAACCTCTACTCTAGCCAGGCTTCAGCTTTGTTCACACCAAGCGCATGCCAGGAGCAGAGCAGAGCAGTTACAGACAAGATTAAAACTGCGTCCAATGTATTATCATGGTATTTTGGGCTCTAGTTCACACCGCAGCGTTCAGTTCCAGAGCATGTAAAAAAAAACTGCAGCAAGCCCTATTTTACCTGCTCTGGAACGCATGCAAACGACCTGAAAGACCATTTTAAACTTAAAAAAATAAATGTTTTTGTTTTTTTACCAAAAACGGCCTGGAACGCATTAAAACGCGGCAAAATCCACTGCACTGCGTGTGCAGAAACTCATGCAGATCTGGTCTGCATTTGGTGTGAACAAGCCCTCAAAGCAACATTGAAGAAGCAGGCCACAGAATGATTAATGAAGTTTAAAAAGGCTGATGAGTGCAAGGAAATAGTTCTAGGACCCCAATGACTACTACAAATAATCACAGCAAGCACCAGCAGGCCTGAAGGACATGGACCATGAAGTATAGCCAGATTGGGACAGGAAGACCTAGAGAGGACCTAGAAAGAGGCCACAGAAGACATTGATCAAGATAGTTCAGATAGCACAACACCACAACGCAGAAAAACCCGGAAGCAAATGTAATGGTGCCTGAATGGATACATCTTTACATAACGCATGAAAATAAAAACATATCAAAAATGAGCATCAGCGTGCATTAGAAATGCACAAAATATGCATGAAAATGCAGATTTACAAGTGTGAACCTAGATTCAATGTCAGCAGCAGAGGTCCAGCTGTCATGTGCACTAGAAGACCCATTGTAAGTACAGTAAAAGACAGCTGATTAATACACAGAAAACATCTTTACAGAAGAAGAAATTAATCAGCAAAAAATTTGTCAAACAGGAAACCACTGTTTTAAAGTACAACCATTAAAAATATTATACGTGCTGCAGGATTTAAAGGAGAACTATGACATGAGTGATTTCCACTAACCTCATAGTTCTAAGCCGACCTGTGACAATGAGACTGTCACAGGTCGGCTCAGTAGATCGGGAGGTGAGGGAACACTTACCGGGTTCCCTCACCTCTCGATCCTGTCACAGCTCTCTGCCGTGACAGGGGGAGGGGCTGGATTCCCCGCTCCGATCTGCCAGCGCTGACTGGCGGAACGGACGGGGGCGGGGGCGGGTACAGCTGGCTCTGCCTCTAGATAGGCAGAGCCAGCTGTCACTCACGCAGCTGGGCGGATCCCGTCATCTAAGTCAGGATCCGCTCCAGGTGCGGCGTCTCAGTATACCGCAAGCTGTACTGAGCTTAGGGTAACGGGAGGACGCTAGTTGGTGTCCTCCCGTTACCCCAAGGAGAACTATGGGGAAAAACACTGACCCCCATAGTTCTCCTTTAATAAATAGTAATCTCGACTTGCAGATTTCTAATAACGTTGCAGCCCAACGTTGCAGAAAGACTTTTCTAAGGAAACAAAGTGGGCTGCAACGTTTCTATAATAGAACATTTGCTTTACATTAGCAACTGCCAGTAGACTTCCAAAGCAGGCATCTATAAATGACAGCGTGTAGCTTTGGATTTTATTCTGAACGCTCAGAGAGCCTATTATGAAATATGGATTTTGGCTTGCAGAGTCAAGGTTGGCCCCATGTCCCTCTAGCAATTAACTACTGTTAAAGTAGAACCATTAAAAATATTATTATACGTGCTGCAGGATTTAATAAAAAGTAATCTCGACTTGCAGATTTCTATTGCAAAGTCCCACAAATACCTGTTAATCCAGCCAGTAAAGTCCACCTAATGCAGCTTCCTGTGAAAGTGTGGAAACCCTGCTCCACTTCTCCTGAATTCAGAGGAGAATTGTCACTCATGTAGGTTGTGTCTGCTTGTATTGCAGTGGAATGAAAAACTATTGTAGAGCGTATAGCCATCATGGCCACCTCTGATACACAAGCCTGTAGCTGGTCAATCAGCACCTGGTCACACCTAGTCTTTTTGGATTGATAGCACCGCCTCTGTTGCTGAAACCCTTCACTGTGAGCTGCAGTGACTGGTAGGAGGAGCGTGTGAGATGTAAACAAAGGAGGACTTGGCTTAAAGAAGATAAAGGAAGTATTTAGTTCACTTTGTGGGGCTTGTAGATGACATAACTGATTTGGTACTTGTTTAGACTGTCATTCAGGAGCCACTGGTTGTACTTTAAGGATACAACATTTTAGGAGGTGGTGTTTTGGAGAGCAAATATCCAAGCTGCTTTCCTCCTGAACTTCTAATTCTGCTCACCTCCCCTTACCATCTGTAAAGCTTTTGTCTTTCTATTTCAGCCTGCTGATAACTTTGCATAATCTCCCCATCGGAATGTGCAATATTTGCTTAACAGGGTACCCCAAAGCAAAAGAAATGCAGCCGGGTGGTCACACTTCAATTAGAAGCAGCCAGCAGGAGACCTAGCAAAAAGGGGCAGCAACTTGTCTTTGGCTCTCCCAGAGAATTCCAAGATAGAGGTGCCACTAGCTCTGTCTGTGCAGAGTGCCAAGTTAAAAAAGATTTAAAGCAGCACACATGCTAAAGGTAGCCATGTATAATTACCAATGGAGCAATGATCTGCATTTCCATGATGTCAGAACTGATGTGTCTTAAAGCTCATCTTGGGGACGGGGAATAAGGGACACAGTCTTTCCCCAGCTCTACTCCAGTGGTGGGAGGCCTGCTGATATCACATCTAAAGCAGTGACCACTGCCCTGCACACATAGACACTGAGGGATACTCCACGAGTTTGAATGTCACGACTAGGTGAGCACCGCTGTTGGGGAAGGGTGGGGGGAAGGGATCATTTAAAGTCCTTTACACAATACCCTTAGGCTAGGTTCACAC